TATATTGAAACCATGAATGAGAAAAGTATAAAATGCCCTCTACATCAGATCTTTTATGTGGCCAAAATGCATGTATTTGAAAAACTTTCTCTTTTGAATTATAAACATAAATCTAATAGGATCAAATATTGGAACTAATTAGAAGGATGATCTTAGAATGATTTGGGTCTAAGTAACTTGGCTATCAAGTGAACTTTCATGTGTTGCATCCCTTGAGAACATGATAACCGAGTCTTTTACAAATACAACTGAAATATAATCTCCTTGATTTTATGTTGGATTCAAGGAGACATAAACTTATGCTCAATTATTTGAAATATATGTTGATACATTAAGGCATTAATATATGCTTAAATATAAGGGTGAAAAAATAGTCCCTTAAGCAATATGAAATATTATATTGAGAGTATATCTAGCTTGATAATCCCAAAGAAGGTTAGGAGTTTATATGGGTTGATTGCGGATCTTTTTACAACAAAATTTGTTGATTGTCAATATAAAGGAATCATGTTCCTAGCATCAAGGGGAGAGGAAGAAATATTGGGAAGCTAAGAGAAAACTTAAGATGCATCTTCCAAGATCTTCAAATAAATTGATATGAATCAAAATTTCCAAATTTTATACTATCAATTGGTGGATACATTTATTGACGAAATGAAAGCAATAAATCATATATCCAAGCTTTAAGTACTCCTACTTGTATTGATATGCCCAATAAAGAAGTTGCTAAAATATTGGCACATAAGTATATGCTAGAAGCATGTTAGAACAAATAGTTCTAAGGATAAAAATCCAAAAATAAAAAGAAAATACAAGCAGAATATTAATACTGCTAAAATTATAAAACTCTTAAAGGGTTCTCCAGGAAATAACCCTAAGAAAGGGTTTTCCAAGAAATAACCCTAAGAAAGGGTTTAGGTACCTGAAAACAATGAAAATGTTGAAATTATATACAATGATGAGATGTTTATGAATTGTGGTTCTCTTAAAAAAGGATGGAACCAAAATGATATTATTGTTAATTAGCAATTCTTGCATATGCAGTAGTGATGGATATAGTCAGTGAAAATGAGGATTTTGGATCAAATTCATTGAAAATTGTCGACGAATAAATGATTGGCCAATATGAAAAGAGATTATCCAAATAGATTTAAAATTACAGTGATTACATGATTTTTTTTATCAATATTCTAAATATATAATGAAATAGTGTTTATTAAATTTATTCAAGTGAGAAACCAATAAGTTCTCTTTACAAAATTGTTGACTTCTAGAACACTAAGTAACTAAGACACTAGATAGGCTTAAATTGCCTAATGATGAATATACATTGAATTCAAGAGAAGTATTATACACACTGTATTCTTTTTCCCTTCGTCAATAGTTTTTTTCTCATTGGATTAATCATGGTAAGGTTTTTAATGAAATAGTTTAATAAGCGTATAATAAAAGGTAAACATCCAAGGGGGAGTGTTATGAATTAATTTATTATAAATGTTTTACCTTCCTCATCTTTTCACCTCCCCATTTTCCATGGCATTTATACACCAAGTAATGGTGTAACTTCCACTACCTTCATGCAATTACAATGGTGATTAACACTCCATAATGTCATGCATTTAGATGGTGATAATGTGATTTCTTGTAATCTCTCTATTAGTAGGAGATTAATCCTTGTAACCTCCTATTTAGTGGGTGTTAATTCCTTATAACTCCTATCCCTAATTGGCTCCTATATATAGGGCACGTACTCTTGCAAAGGTATGAAAATATATGGAGAACAGATGGAGGGGAAATGAATAGAAATATAATATATCTTTTCATTGTCTCACTTTATCTCTTTAATTTTTCTTCTTCTAATTGATTTTTTCTTTATTTTACAACAAACTTGACCATTAATCTAACTATTTCATTTTTAATCTTTAATTCATTTCTCTCTCTGTCTCTCTTTCTCTTTTTATTCCCTTCTCTTATGAGATCAACACTTTCGCCATTTCTCTTTTTCATAAGTACATACTCTATAAGCATATATCTCATTGTTATATATATATATATATATATATTTATCATCAACACCGAAACCAACAAGGAAAAATTTTGCTACGTAATCCAAGTATCTATAATTAGCATCGATGGATACTAAATTGACTACTAAAATTTCATAGAATTCCTACTAGGACGAAAATATAATTTGACATATTAAACTATAAGGTAATTATCAATCCCTTAATTAATTTTTATTATTGGAAGAGTTAAGTGAACCACTCTAAACTATATAAGGGGTAAATGCAATTTGCTCAAATTTGAAAGGGTAACACTAAGAGAAAAGTTATAATATGTTTGAGTTGAGAGGAATGGATTGGATAGGAATGGAGTTCTCCTCTTCCCTTCTCTCTATTCTCTTGAACTCAAACATATGCTTAATATTACAATAAAAGTGCACCAACGACACTACTCCCTTTGTCAAGGATTCAAGTTGCAACTGTAGTATTACAATAACTATTCCTTTATTCTCTAATTTCTCACTGTTCAGAAAAAAAAAACACTAAGAAAAAAAGAAAAATGATTTTTTTTTTTAAATTTTAGTATGGATTGCACAAAAATAGTATAGTTTAAGTATTGAAAATTTTAAAACCCATTAATAAAATTTATTTTCATATTTATTTATTAATAATATTTTAATAATTTCAGTACTAAAATGATATATATAAGTATATTTATGCAATCAACAACAAGGTACATTTAACTCAAAAGAAAATGATGAACAGATCGAAGATTTGTACTTCAACTCTAATTATAAATGGAAGAGTCAAAATATTAGCAAATGCGGTCAGAGCAACTTAGCATGTTGCATTAAATAGAAAATTAGAGAATTTTTCGAGTAATATCCCCTGCTATATACTCTTGCAAGTTGCACCCCTCATCTTTCTCGTATAGACAGTAGTTGGTACACACTTTGATTTAACATATTGTATAACATATTGTATAACATATTTATTAAAAAAATCATTATTTTTTTGTCTAAAATTAAAGACATACAAATTTAAATATACAATCATATACATAAAATACAAAAATCGATTTAATTGACTATATTAATGGTTGAATTTGAAGTATGTCAAAAAAATGTTAAATCGAGTGCGTATTGATAATTTTCTTTCTAGTATATATGCAAGTCAAGCAAACAGATTTTTGGGGTGTTGACTTATAAATTGGACTAATAACAACGGCAAAAGCATATTTTTAGCCCTTTACCTTATTATATTTGTAGGTTTTAGCCCATCACCTTATATTATGACATTTTTAGTTTCTCACCTATTAGGATTAAAAAAAAGAGCCTTCACTTATAACATTTTATTAGTTCTGTTAGCTGACTGTTAACTTTATTAGCTGACTATTAACTATGTTAGTTCTGTTAGTTGATTATTAACTCTATTAACTGACTATTAGCTAACTATTAGCTGACAAAAACCTATTTTTAACTAATAAAGTTAACAGTCAACTAATAGAATTAACAATCAGTTAATAGAACTAAGGAAATATTATAAGTGAGGGTTATTTTCTTCAATTTTAATAGGTGAGGGATTAAAAGTGTCATAGTATAAGATGAGGGGTTAAAAGTGTCATGGTATAAGGTGAGGGGCTAAAATCTACAAACCTAGTAAAGTAAAGGGCCAAAGATAGGTTTTTGCCAATAACAACCAGGTATGTTTTCCTTTTAGTAGGTGAGCGTTAGCGAAAATCTCATTAATTTGTTATGTTTATTGGTCTTCTCAAATCGTGTTCCGTATAGAGTATTTAGGGAATTTATTTTATTTTTAAATATTTTTTTAATTTTTTTTTTTAAGTTTAGTGTGTTTGAGTATAGATTATTCATTAAAAATTTTATATTTAAATTCATTAGCGAGTGAATCTTATATTTAAAATAATTCGGCAATAATTCAACAGTCAACCCAAAAACCCAACACTTTCAGAACAATATTAGCCTTACCAGTCTTGTTGGCTGGGCATTCCTTGTCGAAGTCCAACTCAGCGATTCTGTGGGTTCGAAGGCTGGTGACGTGACCATTGGAAATTAAACAAACCAAAACCCTAGAATCTTTTTCATTGCTTATCTTCAAAATAAATAAATAAATAAAGTGGCACTTTCAGAACAATAAGGGCAGAGGATGAACGTGCAGGATAGGGTAGAAAATGTGAGAAAATTATAAGTCTATAATTGGTTCGATTATTAGAAATAATTAATAATTATAGTTATTGTTTGGTAATTGATAATTGACGATGACTGATATTTATTTTAAATGAGTCTAAAAATTGATATTTCTATATTCTCTAACTAATTATTTAAAAAAAAGAGTTATTGATTCATAAATTAATTAAACCAAACACAACCTCAATCACATAAAACAACAACCTACAGCCGGGATCCTCATCAAACCATTTTACTTAATCCCTCTTTAAGCCCTCGTTCACACTGTTACCTCGTTCACACTGTTAATATGACAATCCATACACAAGCCGGAGTGAACTTGTTTTAATTATTTTTTTAACAGGTACAATTTGGGATAAAAGATGAAGAATTAAATATAGTAGTGTTATAATTTGAATCTTAACTATTGTTAATGTATTATATTATATACGTCTCTTAAATGGTTCATGAAGTATAATGTATTTCTTCTAATTATTAAGGTTCTCTTTTTTATTAACTTAGCATGGACTATACTTTTTATAATTATTCTTTTTAACCGTTGTGCTTTTATAGGTATTAAAGTTTTTTCTTTCATTAATAATAAAAAATATAATTTACATAAGCAAAAAACATATAGTTTATAATTATCAATAAAAATGTTAAATCCATTAATATTTTATTTTTTATTTTATTAAATTATTTATTTACTCATTTAATTGAAAAAGATATATTTTTAATTTATTTTTATTATTTTTATTTTTAAATTAAATAGATAAATAAATAATTTAACAAAATAAAAAAATAAAATGTTAGTGACTAGGCATTTTTATTGGTGCATAGTCATAACCGCGCCGTAAACAGTATTCTCTAGTACAAAATGCTTCCACTGTAAGTCCCAATCATGAGATGCCCTTCCTAACGATTCCAGACTCCAACAACCCCATTTTCATATTACCCACAAAGTGAATTGTAATGAAAGGGAAGACGGGTTGGAGACTGGGATCAATGGAGAGCCAAATCCCAAATACGACAAGAAAGAGGAAGAGATGATGATGTCCATTGAGAGGGTTTTCGATATTCAGGAGGTGCTGTCATGGCGTCAGCAGCTAACGGTGAGGGCGTTCGTGGTTGGCTTCGTGTTGAGCGTACGTACTCTTCAGTTTCATAGTGATGAAACTGAGCCTCACCACCGGAATTATTCCCTCCCTCAAAGTCTCCACCGGCTTGTTGGGGTTCCTCTTCGTCAAGCCTTGGACCAAGATGCTTAACAAATCGGGTCTCCTCCGCCAGCCCTTTACCCGCCAGGAGAACACTGTCGTCCAGACCTTCGTTGTCGCCTCCACTTGCATCACTTTCAGCGGTAGGCCCTTATCTTCAAGAAAGTCTTTAAGAACATCGGGTTACCACACCAATGTGAACATGTGATATCTCTAGCTAATAAAGAAGATACCACACCATGCACATATATATTCGCGAACACTTAAGCATAAATCATTCAAAATTAAACTAGATACGTTTTTCAAGAGCAAGCACCACTACATCGAAACAACCACTGAATACAGAAACGAAACTACCTAAAATTGCATAAAAATTAAAGAAAAACATAGCGAAGCATCTTGGAGCACTCTAAAAGAGAGGGAGGTGGTGCACTAGGATTGCAATTCCCCGCACTCTTGTGGAGTTCTGCATGGATTCGCAACAGGCAAGGAAGTATATTTTCCTCACATGCATGAAATTTAGTGAGAATTTTTTTTTTTTTGTGAGTTCCTTCAAAATCCATGTTTCTTGTATAATATTTTAAAAAATACATTAAAGAAGTTATTCAATTTTAAAAAATTTAAGTATTTAACTTAAAGTTATAAGTTATGTTTATTACTCATTGTTAATTTTGGTTTAATAATAAAGTTCAATTATTTTTGTCAAACTCAACTAAAAAACTATTTTTTTACCTTAACCTAACTTTTTAAAATATTTTATATCAATATAATAAAATAAAAATGTTTGAATTAATTTTATGATATAAATTGGTGGGGCACCGGAGATTCCCATGATGATCACCCATTCCCAATCGGCTAATGAGGACGGCACAAATTCTATCTTCATAAAAAAAAAAATCCCCATGGAATCCCCCTCCGACAAATGAGAGATACTTCTTGAGCCCGCAGTAGCCATTTCCGTCCCCATGATGCAAGCATCATCATCTTCAAGAAACAATAACACCTTCAAAAACGGAAGTCTCCATCAAACCAATTGGA